CTTTGTCTCCATCATACCTGTCAAATGTGAGCTGGGAGGACGAAATGACTGACTTGTGCTCAATCAGCAGCAGCAGCATTAAAAGCATGTTTATGCTGCCAGTGTGTTAGCTCGTGTGATTATCAAACTACATGCATCACACCCCTTGTCGAAGGTTTAGCAGGTGTAGAGCAGTCGGTGTGGGTGTGACTCTGGAGGGGCTGATTCCTCCTGAACCATAGTTAAAAAAACAACAACAGGAATACTGTGCAAGACACCTTCCACATCTATGTAAATGACTTGTCCAAAGACCCATAAAGGTTGTTTCCAATGTCGGTCAATCCAAAAAAGTAATGTTTAAACAGAAACAACAAAAACGATTAATGTTCAAATTGATTTTGAAGAGAGAAGTAAGTTTATCAATCCGGCTTGAGAAACTCTTGGACATTTTTACTGGGTTATTTGGAACTATGGTCTGCTGATGGTGCTGGACAAAAAGTTAGAAGATCTCATGTTTTATACATCAGGGTCTTCTGAGGATATCAATTTATGCAACATTTCACATCATCAAAGTGTTTGTCATTCTCCATTTTTGAACCAATATTTAGCCCACTGATGAACAAAGTGAAGTATCGCAATCACTGACACCTTCGACCCTGGAGCTACCTTCTAGCCTTGCTTCAGATATGGACCCTGAGTTTTTATGGTTTCATCTGGTGTGTCTTTTTTTTCTTGTCGCTGTGTAAACCCTGCTGTCATTCCATTGCCTCCCTTTCTATTTTCAGAACCTCGCCTCCTCCATCCCTCCCCATCAATCGCGACAGTGGGGAAATCCCTTGAAGATGGCGCTCGATCAGTAATGATTTTCTGCTCAGCTGAGCAATGAAAAGTGCACATGCACTCGCTCTCCCTCGCTCACCCTAACTCTCTCTCTCTCTTTCACTCTGTAAACCACATCATCCATCCCCCAATGCATCTTATTAAAGTTTTAAAGCCAAGGTAAGCCGGCACATAAGTGAATCCCTCCATGCGCCCAGCCAGACTCCACCCCACCCCTCCTTCTTTTTCTCACCGTCTCTCACTCTGAGGCAGCTTAAAATTAAAGAGAGGACAGCTTGGCATTTCTTTCTTTAGAAAATGATAAACCAACAGGGCAGACATCAAAATCCTACAGTGCATGAGGATCAGTAGACGAGAAGAAGGGGTGAGAGGGGTCTGCAGCGTCTTTTGAGACTTGTGAAAAGTTCCAGGTCAGAGCAAACATTTAAGGCAGCTTGATGCCCGAGGAAATAGCTGGGAGTATTGTCAATCAAAGTGTTACTCTCTGCTGAATCTGACAGGAGGACACTGAACATCAGCTGTCTACTCTGATAGAATAAGTAATATCCATCCCAGAAGCACACACTGTAGCCTTCTTCCACACTGTGAGGGTTCAGCAAGTTTGTGTAACTCTGGCTGATGGCCCACTGCCGCAAGAAGTGACAATCATGGTTTCATCAAAAAGTCAGTTACATATCCATCATATCCTTTTTTTTAAGGTTTGCTGATATTGCTACCATTAGCCACCAGAAGCTGTAAATCACACCAGAACATGAAATGAAAAAAAAAAGAAGCAGAAACTCTCACCATATTGCTCTCTCAAAGAGACACTCTGGAACAGCTCTGTGTCTCATAAAGATGCAAGAGGTTCCCTTTTGCATCTTTTTCTTCACTTCTTAATACATGCCCACCGAAAAGTGTGTTTGGTTAGGTTCGGGCACAAAAATGACATGATGAAGAATAGGGAAATAATCCTGCTGTTGGTCACGGAGAGTTTTTGGTGAAGGGTTAAAGAATTTGAGGTCTTGGTCATTTAAAGCCTGATTCAAAAACCCAACTGTCTGAATGGAAATCCTTGAAGTTGTTTTACTTCTCTTCAGAAGGGCTTCTTCTGTTATCCACTGACTGCTTGAGGGAGCTGGAATATATAACTCTCTGTCTTTGGCAGGCTGATACAAATTGTGTTAATAAAACTGTTAGTGAGCTTTTGTGTGTGCTGTCTTTTGGACTGTTCTGTGAGTGCCTGATTATGATCAAATCTTGTGTATTTTTGTAAGTACCTGCCTTAGAGCTCCGGATTAAATGTAACTCTTGTACTAATTCTGTTATATTTACTATGATGCGTACTGCTGATATGTTGATAAATGTGCACTGTCCTAATTCAATACATAAATAAATAAAACACAGTAAGTAATGGTTGTGAAGTCAGATGAGAGTCTTTAACTGGTTTGTTGCCCGAGCTCCATCAAGAGTTGTAAAAACCTCTGACGGTCATACAGGTCACATGATCCAAGAGGTGAAGTAAGCTTTAACGGTTAAGACATTCAAAACTGCATTATATGTTGGTGATACATTTTGGATCAAGCTCTGAACCAAGGTGACTTTTATGTTGTACCAGGGACTTGAATGTTAGACTCCCTCATAAGACTGCTTATCATTTCAACTTACTCTTATTAGAAAGAATGGGATATTCCCTCTTATTAAAGAGTCAAATGCAGCAGACTTATTGTGAAATACACTTAAATTGAAACTAAACAGGGAATACTACATATTAATTATTTGGCTTATGGCATGCATCTTTTAAAGAAATATAACATAAGCACAGATCTTTATTTTTTCATATTGCCATGTAGTGTTCTTTCAATGTTTAATCAGAGATAATAAAAGACTAACATGTTTCAATAGTATGCAACATTAGCTTATAAACGCAACTGAGATAAGTGAGGAAATATTGCATGTTAGTCTTTCATATATGGATACTTAAATTACCAACAGCATCATTTTCAACATCCATTTTGTGAGGAAGAGGGTATTAAGAAATAGTTCAGACAATATCTCCCAGTTTGCATTTAGAAACTTCTTCTCTGAAAGGGAATGTTGGTGAGGTATATCAATATTAATGGTATAACACTGAGACCTCATTATCCTGAAGGTCATGGCGGGATGAGGATTCAGAGAGAGGAAGAGAAACGAAAGTCTTCAATATTTCTGGCAGAAACATTGGGCTGGCAGTAGGACACGTCCTGAAGGCAACCTGTCATTCTCAAATACACAATTACTCATCACTGCTTTCTTTTTTTTTGTATGTTAAATCATCCCTTTGATCTTTAGTGTGTGCAAAGTCAATTCAATCATTAAAATGAGAAGAAAAAAGTGTGGGTAAGAAGTGATTTATGGCATCAAAGGATATATCTTAGTTAGAACTTTCCATATGAAGATAGTCGAAAAACTAACAGTAAAATTTTTTATAAAAGAATTAGTTGATACTAAAAGTCTGACAAAGTCTTCCTAGCTATTTTCTGATGCTCTGTCCTACAAAAGAGGTTTGATTACCACATCTCTCTACTTGTCTCGACCTGATTTACTCTAATCAACTCTCAGTCCAATCAGAATAAGACTGCATATAGGAAGGAGAGAGAGTATATGTTTATGTAGGGCATCCATGATGGGTGTGTATGTGTCACGTCTTCATGCAATCACCTTTGCCTGGGTGTGCAAGCCCTCATACCCTCAGTGTGCCCTGCACACAGCTGACTTGCTGATGCAACCTGTGAGCTCCTGTGGTGCAGCTTGTGGCTCCAGCAGTCCTCTGAATGATGCATCACGCTGCATTTACATCAAGCCACTGTATCAGCCCAGTCTCCCAAATTGCCTGAATATCTTGCGCCTCTTTTACTCAAGTTGCCCTCTGCAGGGATCATCAACCTCACATCGCTGTGGATGATGTCGGTTTACATTTTTCATCATAGCTGAATATTTCTCATCAGAGTTGAATACTGAGCAGGGTTGGAGCTCAGAGGAATGCTTGCTCTCTGCACAGGGCACATCATCCTGTTCTCAGAGTGTCCAAGCAGTGATCCAACGTGCCGGTAACAGGCTTTACAAATGGATGACTGACACTCTGTCTCCTGCACAGTTAAAGCCTCCTGGCTCACACTGCAGGATAATCGGGCCGATTTGAGCTCCGATTCTTCCTTCCCGACAATCTCAGAGTCTCTCCCGACTCAAGGCTGCTCGGACCTGATTATCTGCTCAGATTATCTTGTAGTGTGAGCGGTACAAAGATCCAATCTTAACGTCCCCGATCTGCCCAGCGATCGTCGGGGACGCCCCGATTTATTTCAAACATGTTTGATATTTATAATTTAAAATCTCATGAAAGGGTCCGGCAGAAGTTGTGTGTGACTACAATATAATCACGAGACAAGGGGGGACTGTAGTCATGGCAACCAGCGGCAGGACGCAACCCGGCGTATTTTTTTATTTTACGGTACAGATCATCAGTGAAGCACTTTTCTGAAACTTGTTTCCATATAATTGTTTCAACTTTTCTATATCCTACAACAACTTCCACTTCCTTCTCTTTCACCAACCGCCGTCCTTTGTTTTTGTCAAATTAAACTTTATTAACAATTGTCAATGCTCCGTCCCGATTTCACTCGTACAGTGTGAGCTCTCCGGCCGTGCCCGACAATCGAGTCGTACAGTGTGAGCTCGTCAATCGCAAGGTCTGGTTGGTCGTCGTAAAAGATTCAGTCGTACAGTGTGAGCTGACATGCCACCCCGACTTTTATACATTCGGGGAAAAAAATCGCACAGTGTGAGCCAGGCTTAAGGGATAAAGTGGGATCCTTAATATGATTTGAAATGCAAAAATAAAATTACCCAACCAAATATAATTCCACAGCTTTGACCAAAAAAACGTCTAGACACTTGAGGCATTCATACAGGAGAGGTGGGACTCAGCAAGACTAAACTATCAGGAGCACAAGAGTCCTTCACATTCTGGAAAAGAAGAAAACTTCCTACCCTTTTTCTGACCTACAGAGAAAAACCACAATCTATCAACTCCAGTGCTGTTTTAAACCAGTTTAGAAAACAGTAGATGTCACAGTTTGGTGACTAATCTCAGATTGAAATGCGTACTATGGCACTGTGTAGTTCTTGAAAGAAACGACAGAAACGTGTGGTTGAAACATTACCATCTAAGGGCGATCTTGATGGGTGTGGTGAGGCAGGAGGTGAAGAGGTCAGCAGGGAGGTCAGGGTTCATGGGCAGCAGCTCGCTGGCTTCGCAGGCCGCAAGCTGGATGCAGTTCTTCATGGATGGTGGCAGGGGCATCTGGGCGAGCGGGTGGCTGGGGTTGATAGCTGCCACCTGAACAAATCAGACATGAAGGGTTTCTTTTAATTAAATTAGCTCTAATGACCACCTTCATCAGATTTGAAGATGAACAAACACAGCTCAAATTTGGCTACAAATCAATAGAAAATGGAGAAATTTAAAACAGCACCCACCACAGAAAGTGATCTCAGTACTAATCTGTGTTTCAGACTCAAAACACTAAATTATTGAACTGCTCTGCACCCTGACCCACTGTCAGAGGAAATGAATGACAGAGAGACATAAAGAGAAAGGGAGCTGGGTGACTGACAACCTGACTTTAAAGAGGAGAAACTTGTTTTTGTGTCTTTCACAGCAGACACACAATTTGAGAAGGTTACAGTTCAATGCAATAACTTCTTTATAGTTTTTCTAGAGTGCTCTTGTAAAGTTGTAGCATGGAATTAAAATGAGCATTGTCAGAATCCTGTGATGAGTTAGAATTAGACACAGAATCAGAAGCAATGTGGAAGACAACAGAAGCAGACAGGAGGACGACGACGAAGTGAAGATGTGAAATAAAAGTTTAAACACATCTTAAAGCTCACATATTATGCAAAATGCACTTTCCCATTGTTTTCGAACAATAATATGTGTACATAGCACGATAAAGAAACTTCACAGACATGTTTTGGGGAGCTCTGAGTCGTAGTTTAACTTGTTGAAAAGAAGTATAATGTGTGACCTTTTAAGAGAACCATCTACAGAATGATATAGAAAATCTAGAAGAGAAGAGACAGGGGACTTCAAAGAGATTAGAAAAGAAGCAGTCCTTTTTGACATGTCAATAGTTAACACAAGTTAGAAAACTAATCCAAAGTGCAAGTGTGAGTTTGAACAAATGTCCACAAAGGCAACAGGTGAAGGCATTAGCACCCTGTTACCACCTACACAAGCCTGCTCCGACTGTTGTCATTGTTGTTGCAAGCTGTCTGCACCCGACAGATTTGGCATCTTTTCATGAGTCCCAAACAACTTTTATACCAAGAAAATCAGCCACTCATTTGAGCACGTGTCAAGATTTTACTTAGAGCAGAAATGTCTAATTTATTTATCAACATTAAAAGCTCTAAATCACATGGAAGTTTCATGGAAGAGCTGGTTGAACAAATACAAAATGAAAGTTATGAACTATGACTCCCAAACGTAGACAGCAAGGGATGAGCAGTAAATGTATTTTGGTTTCGTTTTCCCCTCTGCTGCATATAAACCAGAGGAAACTTTAATTTGCAAACAAGACAAATTAGTGCTTTTCTGCAGATTTGCCTCTTTGTGCTTTCTGCAGAAACATTGGAGTTGGCACACTGCATGAAACATTTTTAGAACTTAATGATAATGTGATAGGTTATTGATCCCAGGGAGGAGATTTCCTTCTAGCTTGCCCTCTTAGAAGATGGTCTTTAGTGTTAAACAATCCTCTTGTCTATTCTACTGAACAGGATTAGCGTGGTATTTCTACACTGTGGGACTGCTCCATCGATACTGGCCTGAAAAACAGAAGGGGTTTTGCATATGATGTAAAACTTTAATTATATTTTGAGCTCTTGACTATTTATGTGCTCATTGTGTTGTTGTTTGCTTGATTTCTTTGCAGGGAGTTCAATATGGTTTCTGTCTTTAGCTGAGTAGACTTTAATGAGCTGTGGGTCTTAATGAAGGCGGAAAACCAACACTTCCCTTTATCACCGCTGACTGCTATGGTTAATGCTTTCACCTTTCAGCTCTGCCTAATTTTAGAAAGAAATTAGAGATGGAGATTGTTATGATTATAATAATCATCATTATTGCCTCTTTTCTGCAAAACACTAATGTCTATTGTTCCAGGAAACATCGAATCATGTTGTTTGTGCATTTTTTATTGACTGAAAATCTTTTTTCAGCTGCAGACACAGAAACCATCCAGGAAAATCTACTGTTTTGAACAATTCAAAAGTTTTTTTTATCACTGTATGGTCATAGTACATAAAACATATGACAGTCATCTCTTGCTTGAGTATACGAGTTTAATAAAACTGAAACCTATTCCAATGCAAAACCAGTTTTCATCACTTACTGCCACCAATAATCCTCTTTCTAAAGTTTGCAACAATGTGCCAATTTCAGTTTGATCTACAAACACTTGTGTGGGATGCATAAATCAGCTGTGACCATATATTAAACCCCAGCATGGCTCACTGTGGGTAAGCACAGTGGTGTAAATTACAAAGCTCTTACTGTATGACCTCTTGAAGCCTTGTAGAACAGCTGTTTACTGCAGCGGAAAATGCTGCTTCGAGCACTAAAACTCTTTCTGTGTTTGCAAACACTTGAGGGGCTAAAAGGCACAAAGGCAGAGAGTGTGGGAAGAGTGGGAGATGTCCTCAAACAATTTGGTTACAAGTTAGTTAGTAGACACTAAAAGCCCAGGTAATAAAGTCACACTGTGACTAACTCTTTAGACCGTCTAAAAACAGCCTCCAATCTCAGGGTGCTATCACAGTGGAACTATGGACAGGAACACAAGCCCTGCTACAGTCCTCATCATTCAAAGTTCAAAGTATGAAACTGACTGCATCTAACAAAAAAGCTTATATTGAAGTTTAATGCCAGCATGTGATGTGATTAGCTTTAGCAGCCACCAGCTTCAGTAGTCCATATGCTGTGGCACTGCCCACATACATTTAAAGGCTTTATATGTGATTTTTTGATCCAGCAGATGTCGCCCTTGAGCACCAGCATGAAACCAAAACAACTCGCGCTGCATTGTTGTGTTAGCATGCTAATGCTAGCGATCTTTATTATGCTGGTATCTTCACACTGCATGTAAATTTACCTGAAATGAGCGTGATCTAGAAACACAGTTAAGCAGTGAGTACAGTATGTTATTCTTCTTTTCTCTAGTCCCTCAATTAAACAACTTTTATACTCGAGGGGAGGAGTCAGCCGGCCATCCCAACGATGTAAACAAAGTGAAGATAGGACTCTGAAAACTCTGAAAACATCACAGACAGTGGGACTCGGGTGTTACACCCATTGTAGACAGTCATGACTCACAGAGTTATTTTCAGAGGAGATACTTGATTTATATTATATTTAAGAGTGAAAAATCACATATTAGCATTAGCATGCTAACACAACAATGCAGCACGAGTTGTTTTGGTTTCATGTTGGTGCACAAGGGCGACAGAACGGGACGAGTCCGAGGAACGGGACTTTGGGGGTCAAACGTGTTTGGGGCGAGGTACGGATTGCCGAGTGTGAGTGTGCCCTAAAACACAAACAAGTGCAGTAACACACCAAAGGTCCTGAGGGGAAACTACTCCGTGGACCTCACAGCTTCATCTCAGCATCTGATGCAAGTTTGGGAAAACCCACATAACCTGAGGCGAGCATGTGTTACTCATTCTGTGCCTAGAGGGTCAGTCAACTACAGGATTAGACAAGAAAACAAACAAAACTAATGATCCAGCAGGAAGGAATTTAACTGTTACAATTCAATTTCTCCTGAAAATCCACTCTGGAAAAACTGCCTTGAACTTTTTCAAATGTTCGGTCTGGGTTTGAGTTAAGTTTATCAAACTGCATTATAAAAAGGTGATGAGCTACTGTAGATTTACGTAATTTCTCCCTGCTCCTGTATATACTGCAGCGCTGTCCTGTTCTCTGCTAGTCTAATAACTCATTAGCTGACTCTATAAGTGAGGGGGGGGGGAGACAGCAGCTGAGTCTTAGATCTCAGTGTGAGACACTATGTATTTACAGACCTGCTCTATAAGGAGCTCTGCACACACATGAATAAATCATGATATTAGAAATACAGAAGAATATTCTAAATGAATGGAGGGGGAAGTGTGCTAACGTTTGTAGAGTTGCATGTGTCTTTTCCCTCTATCAACATGCATATTTAAGTGAAATGTTTGCAGGCGGGGAGTGGGAGCACGCCTGTTGCTGTTGGATCTGTGCCAATCTTCTTGTAACGCAATTCTTCTTCTCTCTGTGTAATGAGGAAACTGTTGACTCAATGCCAGAGACAGACATCTCAGACGCATGAGGAGTGCGCGTTGAAGAGCCTCTCAACGTGTCAACCTCAAGAAGAACGGTTTCTGCGGTAATCCGTACTGTAAACATAACAACATCTCCAGCAGAAGTTGATTAATGCCATGCATCCACTGTAATTATCACATTAGCATACTGTAATCTCGCAAATTACCATGAAAATCACTATGACAGCTTTCTTTTCTCTCTTTTCCTCTGGGGATATCAGGGTACAATTTAATTGCTGTGAATTCCTCTTTTTTGAAAATGTGACACTAATTTATGAGACTAATCCTACAAGAAAAGAGGGGAGGGGAGGGGAGGGGAGGGGGGATTTCAGATCTTAAAAACACAATCCCTGCATGCATCCATACCAAAATGCAACCCTAGTCAAGCAATCATTTCTACAGTGGTGCATTAATTATTCATTAAAATAATAGAAGGAGCTAGAAGACTTAATGTGAGCATCCTGGAAATGCTGGAAAAAAAAACCCACCTTACCCACAACATACACACAAGCTCTCATAGACCAGCATGTTCTATATGTGAGTGCTGCAGGGAACACACACACACACACCTTACCTTTCACCCTGCAGCTAATGCAGTGAGTATGTTCGCTGAGTGCACGCAGGAAGTGATGAGATATTTAAAAGGAAGCAGGTGGCCCTATAATAGAGCACTCAGAGCAGACACCCACATAAAACACACACATACCCACACACAACTGACACACACAGACCTACTGAATGGAGTGCAGGAGGAGGTTTGGTAAGGTGCTACGGAGGAGTGTCAAAACACCTCCTCCTCCTCCCCCTCATCCTCAGCCATATCTTTTCCTCAGTCATCCTCCATGCTCATGTCTTCATCTGCATCTCTAAATCATAACGTCCCTGGTGAGATCCGGCCTGTCGTGCAATATGAAGCAGGTGCACTATGCACAACTAATTAAAAATGGCGGACGATGTGGGTGTACCTCCATC